TCAATTTGCTCCTCCGGTTAGAGCAGATGCTTGTCAAACTAAATGTTGAAAATTTGCCTGCGAGAGCTTTTTACATTGGACAAGTTACATGATGAATCTTTCTGAAGCTCGGCTATCTCCATATATAATCACTCACGGCTCGAGCCAAATCCAATGTTTGACATTTAATAGCGTGTCCTCGGGTCCAGAAAAACTTATCTCACCAAAAGGCCACTTGGTGTGAGCCTTTCTCGACCTGTCCAGCATCGGTTGAGCCATTACAGAACAGCAACCTTATATACAATTCGATAAGATGCATGCATCTGCTCTTGTTCAGCACGCTATTTCTTCCGATCCCTGATTGATGCTATGGCTTACTACCAGCCGAACAAGCTTTTCATCCATAGTCCGATGATGACTTCGATATCATTCAGAAAAAAAGAATCTCCCCGGTATATCGGCCTGTGAAGATCCATACCACCGGCAAATTGCCCATTTCAGATCCAACGACCTCTACTGGGAACTGCTGCGGAGCGAAACCAAAAGAAGTGGAATGGATGAAACATGATGACGATCTGAGGATACATTGTCTGCAGTAATATAGAAAGTCGTTGGTATCTGGCTGAAGATAGCCGGATCAGACGTTGGACCTCCCTTCAACGCGGACCGAATTGCTGCGACGGTTACTTGGACAAGTACCTGGAAACCATCACAAAAGACAGACATACGGTGTTTGATCACTCGGTGGCCGTCAACTCGCAAGGTTGTGACGTCCTGTGACTGCGACAAAGAAAGGAACAAAACCGAAGACTCCAATGATAAAACTGGTGGGTAGGATCCCTCATCCTTCGAGTTTTTCATCTGGACCTCCAAAGGAAACGCAATCGCTGTCTTCTCCTAGAGAAACCAACGTACAACCAGTAACAGTTGTCAAAGGCGGTTCAAGCGAGGGGGTGTGCGTTCGTTGATCATTAACCTATGATATTCAATGTCGTTAGACCACTGGATCGTGGGTGTGAAGGATATCAAACCCCTGCAATAGGTATTCCATAGGTCTTCATTCCCTACGAGTCTGGGAATCCATGTACACAAATCATATTCAATCGACATTTGCCACCAATCTTCTCGGTCACTGTCCTGATTTCACCATTGCTGACTGCTTCACCTGAATTTTGCCACTCGGATATATAATTTCGTTCGTTTCCCTAGTACACCGTCTGCTTTAGGAGACTCTTTTCTCTCCACAACTCTACCCGCTTTGGAAAGAGTCCTGGAATGGGCGAATAACCCAGAACTTGGTATTTTCACACGCCTAAGGCATGTCTCGTTGGCAAACGCCCCACCACTTTGGCAGAGGGGGACTGCCGTAAACTCTGCTTCGTTAAGCTGAGCGTTCCTCTATCTCCAGATCGACTATGTGAGAAGATTTTCGGACACGAATGTGGGTGGTGAATCTCAGTTTCGCTTAGCCGGATCTTATATATATAAGAATGGTAAGCCCTCCAGACCTAAACAAACTCGCATCACGACTGATGGTTTTCTAAATAGGACTTTCCATTGCTCTCATTGGGGTAAGCTTGCAGCTAGCAATGGTACACACAAGATAGAGACCAGTTCCTAGACGAAATCATCCTCGTCGATGACCTCCCGACGGGATGCACACGAAGTGGAGTCCAGCATGCAAAAGAATTGTCTCAAATAGGCACCACAAGCCGTTTCAGTAGTGTGGCGATGATATTCCTTGCCTGACTGATCGTTGCCACCACTATCGTGTTCCAAGAGATCTGTCTGGCCATCACGCAGTGCAGAAACGGAAAGAAAGCTGTCTCTATTTTCCGGCCGGGTCGTCACGGCCAGCTGCACAGCCAGCAGATGATGGAGAACAACCACGACGACGACGCTTGCGACAACTGGGACCCATCGGGGAAAGAACCTGGCAGGCGTACAGTCCCGACGCTGGTTGCTGTGGTCGAGAGAGTTGGGACAACGCGATGGAGGGGGATGAGGATGATTACCCCAGGCGTGCCGTTGACGGTATATGTTACGAAGCAGATGCGTCACTCGATCTTGGGAGAGAGGGACGGTGGTGCGTAAACATGAGGACACCGAATTCTTTTCTACGGGTTCTAAGAGTTTGTCGACATGTGAAAACTCTCTATGCTGTTTTTTGAGACCGCGCTCTCTTTCTGGTTGCTGCGTTGTCGTTCATCAAGCTGGTTTGTCGCTAGGTGTCCTCCATGAGGTCAATGTCTAGTGCAAAGGCATGTTCGGGCAGTCCGAGGTATGCGACCTACGTCTCAGGCTCTGTGCCCGGCTTACCAATATGCTGGTTTTGCCAACTTTCTCCGGAGCAACAAGTCTCATGTAATGTTAGACTTTTCAAGAGGATCGAATGCAAATCCTTCCCCTCCGGGCTCAATATGACGCATTCTAATATCATTCTTGTTGCTCTGTTGAGTCATTCCAGTTCTCCTGCATCAGCCTTAGCGAACTCGTCAGTTATGCTGCCCACTATGACACAGAAGCCTAGATAACGGACAATATTCCTCTAAAGCCTAGAATATGTGTTGATCAAAGAAGAAAATTCGCCGATTTGCGGGTTCATTACCGAGCCTGACATCCCCCGGCGCCTCCATAACGAGCACGACAAGCACCGTGGCCAATTTGGTCCCGACAGTCTCTGCCGCTCATACGAGTTGGGATGCAATTGACCATCCTCCCATGGACAGCTTTATCTCAACCATAGCTAATAGACGCCTGTGACATCCTCTGCACCCGCATATGGGCGTTGGCTTCATGTGTTAGATGCACAGAGCCAAATTCAAACTCAAGCTGGCGTGTAGGCGCAAAGAACTTCTAAATGTCTATATTGTCTTTGTCTTGTCCTCAATCGCCGGGAGAAGCAGCATCTGAAAGCGAGAAAGAAATGAAAACCCCTGGCTACTTATCCTCTGGGTGTGCCAGTTGATCGGGAGCAGTCAGTCAAGTCGAGGTGATGAAGCGGTAACCTTTCGTTTTCACATCTCTCAATTCTCATAGAACGGCTTCTACGCAATACATCATCCGTCCATCGTGTCTTTCAGTCTACTTGAGAAGTCAAAAACTCTTTTTCGCCAACAACCAATACCTTCAAAGCCAGGGTGTGCGCACTGCTGTCCTTACATTCGGGGTCTGTTTCCGCTCAGATATAACATGCTAGCCTGTTCAGAAGCTCTGTGAACATTGTTACTTCATCGCTGTGCCTGAATCTCTCTTAAAACTCCAGACACTAGGTAGATCGGTGCAGCTGCATAACAATGAATGAGGAACAATATAATCCCCCAGGACCCTTGTGTGCGTTCTGCGGGGAGATACTGAGCATGCGTGTTGTCTTTGACAACTACTTTCACCTCAGAGCGCGCCGGATAAACGCCATCGCTGTCAACTACGTTCTTGAATGAATTCCATACGAAGATAAGGGCCACGTTCCATGAGGTCCAGTCTCATGGGAGAGACCGTGGCCTCACTGGACGAATGGGCCCAGAGCATTGATCCGGAGAATTACCGGAAAATAGACCCATGTCCCCAGGACCTCATCAACTCACATTTCAAGGCTTGTCCAAGGACAACACCGTTGCAATCTAGTGACCTTCTATGTACCCCAATTGGTGCAATCAATATTCGCAGTCAGTACTCCCCTAGTTCCAAGACTTTGATGCCTTGATTTGTGACACACAGAATATTCGGGAGGAAACTATTCTGATGACTGCTTACGATGACTGCTACATGAGGGGAATCTTTACACGAGGCCTCGGATTCCTCCACAAGATCATGTACGAGATCCAAGACCACATGGAGGTAGTCCGCATTATGGAGAATAACTTGGTTATGTTAGGGGCCGATTTTCTGGGTGGGTGCGGCGGGGCTCTCGAAGTTGAGACAAGACACGATCGCCGCCTCGATTACCCGTCGCCCACGGACAAAAGAGAGGAGCTGAGAGATCCTTTGCCCTTTCGAGGTGATATTGTCAATAACTCGGACGGAGAGTACCCGCCACTGGCGTGGACAATACTATGGGAAGGAACTTACAGTAACATGATAGGAGATGAGGGTGTGTCGTATATTTCAGAATGAGGCTCCGTTATGTGGGATGCAGCGCGGCTGGAACGCACCGGTGCGAAGGAAGTGAAACCTTACGGTTATTATTGGGTGAGGACCCAAGGGAATACAACGATAGATACGTAGCTCTGCGATAGGACTAGCTACATGCACCCATGTTCACTGCCACTTTTACCTTTGAGCTCTACACAATGGAGACGGCAATATGCCTGAGGCCCCTCTTAAACAGAAGTAGACTACGCTAGCAAGTGCACGGTTATAATACCGCTCCGTGTGTGATGCATAAGCGCTGCAAGAAATCTTTCTATACTTCTGGGCCAACCAATACTTAACTATCTAGTTCGTTGTATTACCACAATCTAGCCTAAGTTCCATGTAATTTGGTGGGTCAAGAGGATCTGGATGCCGACCGACGGTATGCAAGTAATTAGCGGCCATGGGGCAAGGCGATCTTTGATGAGGTGACGCAACAGGTGGACATAGGGTCTATAAAGCGCTAGGCAACACTGATTGTATACTCCGATGCTCGCTAACTACGCTAATTACAGCCACACGGTGGACAAACTGGCTCTGCTACTGGCATCGGTGCAACTGCCGCTTTATTTGTGCCTGATTGTCGATCAGCGGGCGGGAGTTACACCCAACGGGAAGCACGAGATCCGTCTTTACTTTCAAATAATAATTCTTCACCTTACGTGTTAAATAATAGATCCTTAATTCCTCATCCAATTTAGTTGCTCATGGAGAATATTCTACTATAGTCTCCTAAATAACTGCAAGAAATTGACTCATCTGGGCAGTGCAGAACAGTGGAATGATTGACTTTGGTCGGCTGACGTTCCCCGGCGCATTGTTAACTGCGGTGACATAAGCAACGCCGAAGATGCGGGGTAACCCCCCCCCCCCTGTAAACGCCAGGGAGCACAAAGCTGAGAGCTCCCTTTATAACACTGAGCGAGGTACCTGCTCGGTCCACATTCTTCTCCTCATTCACACTTCTAATGCTAGCTGCGCAGGACCGCAACCATTTACCATAACACCCACTACCCATCCACACCCTTCATAGTCCGTATCTATCGAAGCGATAACTACCCCTCTATCAAGCGAATCTCCCCTCACCGCCAGATCACATGCATCACATCACCAAACGGCCGATTGTGAGGTCAAAACTGTGTGCGGGGTCGCTTTTGGGCCAACATACCAGGCGCTATTCATACGTTCCTTGGTCGTGTCCGTGGACTTTACGACATATGAAATATGAGATTCGCGAGAATCATAACACGATTGCCTTGCTTCGTCAATGGTTCGACACTATAGATCCTAAAACCTATCGCAAACAAAATCCGTGGTCGGGGGAGCTCACCGACGCTTATGAGCATTATAAGTACCTCGATAAGATCTTTATTCAAAGAAAGGCCATCTACATGAACGAGCCGCTGTTGACAATGGAGGCCACCCCTGATCAACATGTGAAGTCGATACAGTTGGCGATCGAATGGGGGGAAGCTGCTCTTAGGTATTCCTTACCATCTCATTGTCCACGTGTGGCTATGGCGAAACAAGTCGCGATCATGGCAATCTTGATTGCATTAATGCTAATGCATCTGGTACAATGTAGCTCGGCCAAGGCGAGAATTCATGTTCTTGCAAACTATCGAAATGCCTATGACGTCACAGTTATCCACTCGCACATAGAAGAGGCAGAAAGACATCTCTTCAGTGCCATGAGTGCATTGCGCGAAGCAAGAACGAATTTCCAAGGTACGATACTCAGCCCATGAATGTTGACTACATTGTATGGCTAATAGGCCTGGTTGTACAGTAGCAAAAAGCGACTACAAGTTCCCTTTACCTTCGGTTCTATGCCAGCCTGATCTATACCCACACTATTCAACATCCTTCATTGACCTATGCTTGGGGGTGCATGTTGATCCCACAGTATAGCCAATGCTGTGTTAGCTCTTTCTCTCTTTTTTTTCTTCCTTATGTCTCCTCACGACCCTGATTCTTCTCTAGCCGGCTGTTGATTTCCTTTGTTTATGCATAGATTCCCTCACGCACATCTGAGATGTGAAACGTGCAAGTCGCGTTGTGCTATTTATTTCTGTTCAATCACGCTTTCATGATCTGCATTGCTCTGAGCTGGTTCTTGAATCCTTTAGCGCTGTTGTCCCTGGCCTGGGTCATTCCATCAAATTTACATACCCTTCTGATCACGTCACTCACGAGCTCGGTGCTTAGTAAACCCGAGATCTTTGTGTTAATCATTTCATGGCTCTTACTGCTTTCAAAACATTTTCCCGATAAAGAAGACGTAGAGAGTGCTTGAGTTGGAACTTCGGTCAGTTGGGTTCATTGGTGCACACTTACAACGGTCGCGTACGTTCCTCCTCCCTCAAAGAAGCCATTAAGGATGTCAATTACCTCGTCAATCTAACATCAATCACCAAAAAGGCCAAACGAAGTTATTCAGCGACTACAAGTTCACTTTCTACCTGTCAATATCATCTCGAAATTTATCGACAGCAATCTTGCGACCGGATAGTCACATGCGGGGGGTGTGGCGCAGTCTTCATTCACTAACATAGGTAGCCCATCAGTCAGCCTTGACAGCTTTCCCTGCTTATTATCTCCGTGTCACCTTTCCCCAGTCTATAAGTCCAGTCGAGAACTGATCGACACTGCTCCTACACCATCCAATCTACAAACATGAGGAACACTCCGATTGATTCATCCGACCCCGATCCACACACCTCCCCAAAAAGAAATCAAACAACAACAGCCAACACAGCAGAAACATTCCCACTCTTCAACTTCCTCCCCGCCGAACTCCGACACCAAATTTGGCAATCCGCCCTCCCCGAACCCACATACCCTCCCTCAGCCTTACTTCCCCACAGAAAAGGTTGCTGGGTGGCCAAACCCATCCCCTATACAGGAGAGGCAGGCCAAGTCAGCGACCCCAATGGCAACTACGAGATAGTATTCGACATGAGCCTCCTGGACCACGTACAAATCCATACTCCTTTACTACACGTGAACAGCGAATCGCGAGCCATTGCACAGAAATGGGCGCAGCGTATATCAGCTCCACAAACGAACCGCCTTGATGACCAACAACAAATCCAGGCTCAAATGTACAATGACGAATGCAGTAGCGAATATATACCCCCCTTCTCCCGCCAATTCAACATCGACAGCGACGTTCTCTACCTCGTCCCCGACAACATTGTCGACTTGATCCTCGGGGCAGGGGACCGTCTGGAGCAGCCCGATATGAATGGCAAGGCAGCAAGGGTGGTGTTTTCGTTGCCGTTGGTGGTTGTGAGCGAGGAGGTTATCTGGCTTGAGGATGAGGCGCTTGTGGAGGAAATCATGGAGCTGTTTTCGATCATGGGACCGGTTTTTATTCTGGTGGGGGAGCAGCCGAAGTGGAAGGAGGGCGGGGTGCAGAGGTGGTGGGATGTGGAGTTGGTGTCGAGGAGGGCGTTTGTTTGGCAGTGGATGGAGAGTCGGTTTGTGGAAACGGTCGAAGAGAGGTTTGGGAGTGATGAGGTGCATGAGAGGATTGTGCAATGGTGTGAGTGGATGGGGAGGGTGTTGACGAAGATTAATAGAACGAGATTTGAGATGGGGGTTGTGAGGGTGGTTAGGAGGTGATTCATCATACCTTTATCACTGTTATGACTACTTACTACTCACATCTCATATCTTCTACCTGAGACCCTGCCTGATGGCTAATAAAATAATAAAAGCTCATGATCCATGAACTCGGGTCGGGCCGTCTTCCGAGCCAGAGATGCGATTCGATAATTATTTAGTAGTCTAACCTTGTACAAAATACAGGATGTATCTACGATGTACATTCATCAAATTCAAAGTATCATCCATACGCAGTAGCCATCATTCATGCACAGCTGACATGTGGGCTGGAGAAACGCAACAATCAACTCAGTACATGACCACCTACACCAATCAGAAAATACTATCCCTCCTCACCTCCATCAATCAAACAACACTTTTAAAAGTACTTGACCTAAACACCAAGCTGATAAGCATAACCCCATGATGTCATCCATCCTCCAAGTACAAACTAACCAACTAACTACCTAGCTGCCACGTCCTAGTAAACCTTCCGAACCCGAACCGAACCCCTCAAACAGCCCAATCATCTCCCCCCTCTTTCGATAAGTACTAGTAGTAAACCCCTAAATCCTATGTCCTTCCGCCACAAACACCTATCAGCAGTACAGAGACCACGCGAAGGATTCCACTTCCGCACAGCTGATTAACATAAGCATCTAGCCCGATCTAGTTAGTTACAAAGTTACACAGCCTTAGTAATATAAACCGGACACGGATACGGACAGGTACAACGGGTTACCTAGGTAAGTACACGGAGCTTAGCATAAACCCCGACCCACCCGCTAATCTCCTCCCGATCAGAGCGGAGGTATGCGGTGATAAGGGTCGGTGTTTATCACTACTAGTTAACTACCTGCTTGCTTACTTTCAGATTATCAATTGACGGAGAAGTCTTAACATCTAAGAAAAAAATGTTATAGTATAAATAATACTCACCTCAACCCATCCTCTCTCTCTCTCTCTCTCTCTCATCTTAAATATAAAATATTAATTCTCGTTCTCCAACCACACCAATCAAACTACTACTAAGTTTACCAAGAAAATGTCCCAAATCCTCATCACCGGCGGCACCGGCTTCCTCGCCAGCACACTAATCGACATCCTACTCTCACGAGGCCACGACATAATCACGACCGTGCGGAGCGCTGAAAAAGCCTCGCAGGTACAATCCATCCGTCCTGATATCCCACCTCACCGACTTACTATAAAAATTGTCCCGGACATCTCCCTCCTCTCGGCATTCGACTCTGCCGTGGTCAATGACCCTCCACTCACCGGTGTAATCCACACGGCGAGTCCATTCCACTATAGCATCGACAATATCAAGAAGGACATGTTGGATCCAGCTGTTAACGGCACCATCGGGATATTAAGTTCCGTGCAAAAGTACGCACCTACGGTGAAGAAAGTGGTGATTACGTCGTCGTTCGCGGCGATGTGGAATCCCAGTAAACCTGCGGGGAGCAAGTACTCTGAGAAGGATTGGAATAACGTGTCCTGGGAAGAGGCGGTTAGTCCTGCGAATGCGCAGGGACAGGCTGGGTATCGGACGAGTAAGGCGCTGGCGGAGCGGGAAGCGTGGAAGTTTATGGAGCGGGAGAAGCCGAAGTTTGGGTTAACGGTGATGAATCCGTCGTTGATATTTGGGCCGGTTGTGCCTGGGTCGTTGAGGAATCTGGGGGAGGTGAATACGTCGAATACGAGGATTAGGGATTTCGTGGCGGGGAAGTTTAAGGAGAAGTGTCCGGCGACGGGGAGTGCGTTCTGGGTGGATGTGAGGGATGCGGCAATGGCGCATGCGGTGGCGTTGGAGAAGGGGGAGGTGACGGATGGGAAGAGGTATTTTTTGACGGCCGGGGGGTTTTGTAATAGGGAGATTGTCGAGGTTCTGGGGGAGGAGTTTCCGGAAGTTAAGGGGGGGTTGCCGGAGGGGGAGGAGGCGTTGAGGGATGGAGAGTATCCGGAGGGTGGGCCGAAGTATGGGTTTGATAATTCGGCGTCGGTGGGCGATTTGGGGCTGGTTTATCGCGGGTTGAGGGAGAGTGTGCGGGATACGGTGGTGAGTTTGAGGGGGGTTCCTGAGTAGGGTGACATTATAGATAAGTGATAGATATAGACTTTAATGAATAGCACTTTGGTGATGTCATTTTGTGTTTTGAACAGTGTGTGTTGATGTATGGAATAAGAAAAAGCTCGATTTGCTTGCAGGATAGCAATATTTGGAATGTCTGCAGAATCTCGGGATTTCCGATGTTGAGCTGCTATCTAGATCTCTGGCCCACCGTCAAACTTGGTTCGCCCGGATTAGATAAAAATTATTAAGTGGGCAATAACGTTATTTGTTAGAATCTCCACTTTTCGCCTCATCGCAGGGTCGAGGAGAGCTGTAGTGGGGTGAAGCTATTCGTTCTTGTTTTGTAGAGCTTCATTCTCAAATCGTACAGTTCTATCATACCAGCCAGTGTAGTTAGCAGATTTACGAACGAAGAACAATGAGTGAGTGTCTGTAAAATAATCATCCCGCATGACATCTTCAAGGCCTGAAATGGCACCTAAGCGTATATTTCTCAGTCCATATCCCTCCGAAGGCCCTTCAGGCCAAGCCGGGAGTCCCAGCGCTAGTCGCCACTATCCCGCATACAGTTGGTCTGCATACGTATGCCCATAGTCTATACGAGATTAAAAATAACAGAATAAGAGTTCTCAATCTGTCATTGGTTTGTTTTTGGACCCCGAACCCCTAAGGAACTTAAGCTTAGGCAATCATGTTGGGTGCGGGGTTATGCAGTTGGGTGAGGATAGTTCCCTCGCTGAGGAACTGAGGATATAAAGCGGGACTGTTCTCTCGTCATGAATGTATCTAGTTTTCTTGTAAGTCTGCAGTACTCCAGTGATCAATTTTGCTCACCATGAAGTCGTCCATCATCTCCGCCTTGGCCCTGGCCGCTGGTGCTCTTGCCGCTCCGTCTGCAGAGATCGAATCCAGCCTCGAGAAGCGCAACCCCAGCGGTTCCTTCAGTCTGTATGCCTGGGGTGTCGGCGCTTCCGCTCTCAAGTTCTTCTATTCCGATGGTACATAGTAGTTATCTCAACTTAATCCCCAATATCACGCTGACATCACCAGGACTCGCCTACGCCGGTGATTCATCTCTTTGGCCCTATGGATCCGTCACCACCGACGTCACCTGTCAGCATTCCTTCCAAACCACATACACAGAGCAATCTTACTAACCATGCTGCAGTCGTCATCACCGACACCGAACTAAATACCACTGCCACCACCGACGGTGTCACCCTCGACTCCGACACCCTGTTCTATATCCGTCCCACGGCCGACGAGATCCTACCCGTTGGTTTCACCGGCAACGGAATCGATACGCCTTCTGAT